TCAAATATTGAAAATTATTTGAAAACATGAAAAACAAAATTGTTTTGAATTTTCTGCAAATGTCATTAGGAGTAACCAAAATAAAGGGGTATATTACAGTGATATTATAACTGGAATATACCACTTGAACTTCTAAGTAAAGATTTTTAGAAAAAAATTTATTCCAAAAAATTAAAATCATATGTATTTTGGCATTATTTTGGTAAATGCAAAAATTGTTATTTTGTTGTTTAAGTCATGTTAATCCCAACACATTTGCCCAAGTTAGAATCACTTCACAATCATTAAAATTTCAAAAATATACGCAGAATATAATAATGTACTAGCAAAAAAAAAAAAGTAATTCTAATTTTGTAATTACATCTCCTGATACTTTTGTAACGAACAGGTAAAATTATCAAAGTCACCCCACGTATCAAAATCACCCTGTTTTACGGTAATATTGCATGGGCAAGTACAAATCATACAAAATTTAAAAAATTGTACAGTAAACAAAACCATGCGTGCAGAATATTATTTGGAGCTGATAATTTGTACCATATACCATTACCCAATTGTACCATGCGAGCCTCTTCTGCGTATACCTGGCGCATTAAACGTTTATAAAATAAACTTGCACCAAGTTTTAATGTTCATGTATAAAATAAACATGGGACTATCTCCTAAAAGATTTCAGTCCTATTTTGAAAAAGTAAAAAACACGACAAAACTACCCGACAATACCCGACGAAATTTTTAGATAATGATTACATTGTCCTTAAATATAGTTCAAAACAAAACATATTTGATTCAATATCGTGAACCCTATTGGTGGAAAAAGTTTCCTAGTATTTATTTATTTTATTCTTTTTATCACCCAATTTACAGGTAAAACAAACAAAGTGTATAAAACTAATAGTTTATACTTTCATTCTAAAGTCTAATTTAAATTCTCGTTGGAATATTTTCTTCCATCAAATTTGTAAATATTAGTTTTTGTTCTCTGATATTCCAGAATTAAAAAAAAACAATTCAAAATTGCCGCTATATTGTCTCCTACGTCATCGTAACGACGCTTAATCGTTATTTTTTTTCCTTCTATCAAATACTGAGCGAAGTTTAGCTCAAGTTAGTTGTACATTTTTATTGCTTCGTTAATAAATAGGTTATCTTTAGTAACATCAGATATCTGAATCAAAATCAGGGAAAAACAAGGCGGGTTGTTCAGTAGTCTGATAAACAGATTCAGTTTGTTTCAAATGAGGATGGGAGATATGTCATCAATTTTAAAGAAGGGATGCAGGTAGTTTTTTCTATACTTTGACATAATAAAGAGGAATTTTAATGTTGATCTTCCAATAGCGTCCATTTTATAAGGAAGTGAATTATTATAACAACAAATTTCTAAGCCGCACGATAGATTCGGTTAGGACATAGATCTGAACAAATTTACTATAGTTAGTGGTTGACAAAAACGAATATCAAATTTTATTAGAGCTCTGGAGATTGATTGAAACTGAGTATTACGTTCATTTACATTTTCTATTTGAAGTGTTGCTATATTTTTGTGTACGATTTTGATTATCCCATAGAAATCCGAGGTGTTTCAGTTTATTATTGAGGTGTAGGGAAGAGCCGTTTATTTGGATTGTCTTTTTTGTAATTGAACTTTTACCGGGTATAATAAACTCGGTTTTTTCAGTGTTTAGTTTGATTTATAGCTTTTAGCATTGTGATTAAACTTTGTCAATCAATTCTTGTAAACCAGAAAGAGTTTGACTTTGTAAAATTATATCGTCTGCATAAGCAATAATACCTGTGTACAACACTTACTGTTGTTCCAACTTGGCAATCTGAAACAATTTGATTTAATATACTTTGAGTGTATATATAATATAAATGTAGTGATAAAATTGATCCTTGTCGCACGCTTTGAGATAAAGGGAAATGATTTGATTTATGCCCAAGGTACAAATTAGCAAATACGAAAAAAATTAGTATACAACAGTTTAAAAATGAATCGAAACAGGTTTGTTATTACTAATAGATTTTAACATATCTGATTTTAAATGCTTCTTTTAAACTAAAATTCAATTATATAAAATATGTCTCAGAATGTATCAACTTTCTTTCATTAATTCAATTACGGTGTTTCCGCTTGTCTTAAAAGTTATTGAAATCTTAAATATATATATATTTTTTTCAACTATCAATAAATCGATATTTATTTTACTTTTATACAAATTGGTTTTAAAATATACATAAATATTACGGTTTTTTTAAATTAAGTACTCTTTTGTTTTTAATTTTTCGTTCTTTATTTAAATATTAAATAAACTGTTATATATTTTATTACAAACTGTTATATATATATATATATTTTTTTTATATTTTTTAATAAGTAAGTTGTATACTATACGTATATAGTATTAAGATACTGCCAGAAGTTCTTACGGTCTTATCACAGAACACCACAGAAGAGCATTTAGGAACTTAGACTCCTTACCAATGTCGCTTATCCCGTTACCAATGTCCTCCTTCCTCACCAATGTCGACCAAATTCTAACTACTGCGCCGTGGCAGCACACAAAAATTCTTGTCCGTATACGATTTTCTACTTATCCTAAACGTTTGCTAAATTATTTATTAAAGTGTTTTTATAATTTTATTTGAAAATAATTTTTATTTTAGAAATAATACAATTTGTTTTTTATAGCTATTTACTCAGATTTGAAATATACAGTAAAATGCGCCACAAACAAAACAACACAATTGTACGAAAAAAACGTCTGGTAATGAACTTTTCAACTGCAACTTTTTATATCCATGGCTATTAATAAAGAGTAATAATACATAGATTATCCTAGTCATATTTTAAAAATGGAAAATGGTTTGGATAAAACATCCGGAAAAAATCTGGAACTTGTTTTCCCTTATTTTCTTTTAAATTTCGCTTTTACTTAAGTTGTTTCTAATTTTTTTTTGTTACTTTTCATAATTTTTTATAAGTGATGAGTGAAAAAGCTTAAAAAATAAATATATTACAAAAATATATACCTCATCTTGCATGTATTGAAAATATTTTGGATATCCGGAAAAACTAAAAATTGAAAAAAATATCCGGAACTCCGGAAATATCCGGAAAAAGATGATTCCTGAATAAAATAAAAAATGTTGAGATTGGGTCTTTATTTTTAAAATGCTAAACGTGACTAAACTGTCGCTTAGCCTTGTGGACAGATAAGAGAAGTGCTTTAGTCAACCAGACTATCTACAACTTCGTTCTATTGAAAGATACAGGTATTTTAAAAAGAAATATTACAAATTAGGTGAAAATTTGCTTGTACAGCTGCAAATGTTTTAAAAGCTCAGACTTTTTGAATAAAAAAAGTTAATTTTGAAGTTGGGCAAAAACATGGAGGTGTTCAGAAAAAAGTTCGCACATTTTCTAGTGTTAAAACTTCAACACTAGAAAATGTGCGAACTTTTTATTTTTCTTTAAAGAAAAATATTGAAAAAAGGTTTTTACATTTTTAAATTAAAACAAAACAAAAAAACAATTAAAATTTGCTTTTATTTTCTAACTTGTTTTTGCAAATATGAATGATACATAGATAAGATTCTTTAAAGTCCATTCTGAGGCCTTACGTTGTTGTGTACTTTTTATTGTGTAATCAATTTTTTGTTTTATAAGTTTTTGTTTGCTGGATATATTCGTTGAAGATCTTCCTTTATATTAGTGTTAATAAAATGATATGAATATTTTTTTAATTTTGTAAGTATTGTTTAGATGCATTGTCTGTCTTATTTATTTTTAAATATTCCTTTATTAATCTTTACTATTGTCTTGACAACTGTCAAAATATGCTATGTTCGAAAAATAACTCTCCTTTATTCTAAGGTACAACATTTCTTCCCTCAGGCGTTCACTGCTCCTGTGTGACCACTCGGCGAATTTTATATGCCAAAGTTTTTAAATAATTGTTGCAACATAAGATAAAATGTTTGTGGCGAAAAACACCTTGCCTAGGTAAGAAGCGTTACACAGCTCGCATTTTTCGTAGTTGAAAGCGTTCAGTAAGGGGTCATCCATAAAGAACTCACGCTTTTTTTACGTCCAACCCCCCCCCCCCCCCCCCATCATTACACACACTTTGCAATACGCTTTTTTGAGTATCCTTGATCTCCTTAAAAGTACCGAAGCTTTTATCCAATTAATCTAACATTTTATGATATTTTTTTAAATTTAGTTTCTCCTTCCTTTTATAATTGATCCACTTGCCTCCGATCTCATGAACGCCATTTGCAGACCCACTCCTTCCCTCCGAGCGTACGTACTTTATGGACGATCCCTAAAGCGAAATTTTTTTTTCAGAATTTTTAAATTATCTTTAAACATCGTTTATGTGATATTAGGTTGTAAAAAAAAACATTTAACAGCAACTGAGAACTTTAAAAAAAATAAAAAATTGTTTTATAAATTATATTATAAAAAAAAATATTTGAATTCTTAGTTTTTAATAGTTCATTATTAAAGTTAAGTTGAGCTAATAAAAGCTCCACAATGACTTCATATTATTCTTATCATAAATCACAACTAAAAACAATTACAAAATGGATTACAGATACAAAAAAATTTGATAACTAAATTTACTCATGTACTATCTTTATATATAAAATTATCAATTAAAAATAATGACGATTAGATTATAGAATAGATTATATAAAGTGAGTAAAAAACTAATTTTAAAAATTAAACTTAAAAAAAAAAATAACAAATTTTAACAAAGTAACTACTATTTAAGTTCGGAGTAACATAAATAAGATATAATAAATAAAGAAGAAAATGAAATAAAGAAGATAAATGAATGTAGGAGAAAATAGAGCATAAAGAAACTAAAGAACAAGAAAACGGTTGCCAGAAGATTTAAAAAGTTATTATTATTGGAAGTTTTTAATTTTATTGGAAGAATTTTTATTATTAAGAAGATAATAATTAAGGCTTAAAAAGCTAAAACAACTAAAAAAACATGTATTTAATATAATAATAATTAATAAAAATTAAAGAATACGTAACCGCGAAAGAGCAGTTACGTCATATGGCTTGAAAAATAATTTTTTTGATAAGGTGCAACTTTGAATTGAAGACATTTGGGTAGCGATTTTATATTCAGAACATACTTTGTAGTAATCTACTTTCGACGCCATATTAGAGTTAAGTTCCGTCAAAATATCAAGTAATGAAGAATCATAAGCACGATTTTTCAAAGTCTCACAAAGTGTTTGAATATACCATGAGCCTCTAGTTACATCACGAAACGCAACTTTACCTATAAACGACAAATATTTAAACTAACAGGTCTAAGAAATATAATTTTGAGCAAATTAATACATTTTATAAGAACAAAACACCTCAGAGGCACAAGACGAGTTTAAGATATCATAAACACGTATTAAAACGTTTTAATACATTTTTTGACGCTTAAAAACGTCTTGTGCCAACTGGAGTGTAACTATAAGTAAACTCGAATAATCAAGAAATATGCTGAAATAACTTTTGTGTAATAAATCCAGGTCCTTTTAATGCTTTTTATAAATTAAAAAATTAGCAGCGGTTTTTAAAGCCAGGATTAAATTAAACTTGTCACGTATTTTTTATTGTGCACTGTTATGGATGGATAATAGTACAAAAAAATATTTTTTGCACTATTCTCAACTAGACTTATTATAAGTTTCATAGTATAATCTATGAACGTTCAAAATTATGACCATATAAATTTTGTAACCCCATCAAATTGAGGGAGTTCAAACTTTATACGCTCGTCATTTTTTTGGTCTCAAAGACCAAAAAATGCTGAACCCTTAGGCTCAAGTAAGACTCAACAGTATTGGTTTTGTCATCCTTGAACATAAAAAAGTTTTTTTTTGGTCCAAACAATTTGCAAACATCAAATCTGTCATTAATGAATGAAGTTCTGGAGTTTTTCTAGACATAATAGCTTTAATGTAACTGTCTTGACAAGACTCATTTAAAAGTGCTTTCATGTTATGGTAAAGACAAAGAAAATAAACGAATAAAACCTTCATCAACATTGTATGACGGTAGAAGCATAGGTGAACCCCACACTTTGACAGCATTTTAATGTTTTAATTTAAGTTTTCTTCAATTTTAAACTGTTTTATTCGTTTTAATTTGTTCAAATTTTTACTTATGTAGTCATAAATATTTTTGAATTTGTTTAAAAGTTTTGTGTTGACTTTTCTTGAAAATGATGCAACTCTTTTTAAGAAATTATATTTAACTCCACTGTTAAAAATTTACCCGTCATATCTAAACCCTTGACCTCTGCTATTAGGTTTTTAAAACAATGGTTGATTGATGAGCTTAACATTATCTATTTCTTTAAACTTTTTGAACATCTGTGTCATGTTCCGTCTTTAAATATGTTGAACACCTGTATCGTGTCCCATTTTTGCCTTCTTTTTACCAGAGTTAAATTCTCCATTTTTTGTAAAAAGCTTTTATTGCATTGAAAGCTTTTTACAAAAAATGGAGAATTTGGAAAAACACTCTGAAAGAAGAACGATTTGCCAGAAGGAAAAAGAAGCAGCATTTGTTTTTTAACCAATACATTTGATATGAATATAGATGAAGATCAACTATTCTTAACTTTGCAAAAGGTAAAAGGATTATCCTGGATTTATGAGTGGAATTGATTTTAAGCACTGTAGGATGAAGAAAGAAGATAAATGCACACTGAAAAGGAAATGATTAGTGCTCTATTTTAAGAAGCATGTAAGTTTTATATTTTATTTGTATTTTATTTTTATATTATATTTTATAATTTAAAGAAGCATTTAAGTTTTATATTTTATTTAGCATGAGAGAAGATATTAAGGAAAAAATGTATTGATTTTTTTTAAACCATACTTTTGAAGAATTTTACCACTAATATCGTTTTTAATTTTATATAAAGAGTTTTTAACTTTGAAAAATCAACTTATCCCTGGTTCCAGCACTGTAACCATAGTAACTTTAGTTCTGCAAATAGGCTCTAAAGAACACTGAGAGCATTAGTCCTTTTTATTAAAACACAAACGTTCAGAAAACAGATTTGTGATATTCATCAGTCAAGAGAAGAATTTTAAATAATAAACTGCTTGATTACTATCACTATAAGCATTCATCGTACATCTATTAGCATTTATTAACTATCTTAATTTATATCTAAATTAATTATCTATCTGCATCTATTAACAGCGCTAGACATCAACATCTATTAAATTTAAAATTGTATTATCCTTAACTACTGTCATTTTAAATGTTTTTCCAAATTGAAAAAACTAAAATTAAATGAATAAAAAGGCAACAACACAAAAGTTTATGTGTGATCTATTTTTACAACTTTTAAATTTAACTTTGCAGTTAATTAGTTACAGCTGTTTTGTTGGTTACCATAGCAACAATGCTACTTTTTATTTAGATAAAAAATGATTTGATGTTTATTGATCTTGTTTTTTTGTTTCTCATTATTTTTATTAATAGTAATTCATCTTTAAAATGGACACTTAAAATCCAATATCTTCTGCTGGTGAAATCAAAATTTGCATAATTTATAACTAATTAATAACAAATAACTCTAATATTAAATAATAAAAAACTAAGAAATTTTAAATTTTTCTATATATATATATATATATATATATATATATATATTTATATATATATATATATATATATATATATATATATATATATATATATATATATATATATATATATATATATATATATATATATATATATAATTAAAAAAGAAAAAAGAAAAAACTTTTTATTATGGTATAATAAAATAATAATAAAAAGTTTTTTCTTTTTTCGTTTTTAATTATAAACCGCTCTATTATGAAATTTATATATAATCAAAATAAATTTCTTAATTATTGAGCACTTATTAACAAACGAGAGTTGTGCATTTAATACAACAGTACATAAAACGATATATATATATATATATATATATATATATATATATATATATATATATATATATATATATATATATATATATATATATATGTACTTTTTTTTTTTTTTTTGAGTAAAACTAAAATATAATAGATCTGGCTAACCTGGTAATGTTGCTAAAGATGTCAAAACATCTTCAAAATCAACTTTTATTCCAATATCTGATAAAGACATTTCCTTAACATTTATTTCGGTTTGACAAGCTTGAATGAAAAACAACTTAGGTTTACCCTGAAGTGATTCAGAAGATGCGTCCTCAACAGTGGTCCACAATTCTTCAAACGATAGCCTGGATCCATCACTGCCATATATTCCATTTCTATATCCATGTGACAAAATACAACATACAAAACAATCTTGTATCGAACTATTTTTGAGATTACTATATAATAATTGAACTATATCTTTAGAACTTTTATTTTTGTATACCAAAACATCAAAGTTCAGCCAAGTAAATGTCTCCTTTAGTTGACTTTCGTCTGCTCCATTTCCTAAGCGCTGTTCTAGCTTTTTATTTTCATCAGTTATAATTACTTCTTTATCAAAGTAGTTGCTGAATATAATACATATTCCACTAGGAACATTGTGCATGCTGTATATTCCCAACTCAATTGAAGTATTTTCTACAAAATATTCTTTCTTAATTGAGTCCAAATTTAAAACAGAAGTTGAAGCAGAAACTGAAGCAGAAGTTTGAGCTGAATTGAATGTTGAATTGAATGTTGAACTGAATGTTGAACCACTTTTTTGGGATATCTCATTCACACCTACATAACAAACGGTCAATATTTATAATATAAAAGAACAAAAAAAAACATGTTTCAATTACTTTATCAATATGTAAGATCTTTTTTTTTACTTGTTAATGCTTTGCTTTTTTCTTCCATATAAGATTTTATTTTAGATAAAAGGTCTTTCCTTCCAATATCAGCAAGAATCTGGCCTAGTTTAGACAGGTCATTACATGAGATTATATTCCGCTTCTCCAATTCATTCAAGAGTGTATGACCATCATCTAATGTCTCACGAACACTAGCTTAAATAAAAAAAATAACATAACATATATATTTTGTACAAAATGTTATCATTCATATGATAACATTTTGTACAAGAGTTGCATAAACTTAATATATGAACATCAATAAATAAGAGTATATATATATATATATATATATATATATATATATATATATATATATATATATATATATATATATATATATATATATATATATATATATATTATATATTTAAATGAAAAGAATACAACTTTTTTATGGTACATTTTAAAGAAAATCTAAGATAAACATTTCTATAAATTTCTCATTGTTGACTTTTACCCCTTAATAAACAAAAAGCTTCATACCGAATCATTTGCTTTGCTCACGCACATAAATCACTATTATTTAATAATAAGGAAGTTTGGATAAAGAAAAATCAATTGATTTATTTGATGTCACCATGGAAGCTTTTGATGGCGCTAAAGTATGTGAACTGGTTGGAATTTTTCTTCTTTTCCAAATTTCTCAGTTTTATAAAAATTTTGATTTTGGGCTGTATAGAGATAATGTGTTGGCTGTGATTAAAAATGCTAGCGGTCCACAAATGGAAAAAGTTAAAAAACATAACTCTGATATTCAAAAGTAACAGCTTTAATATTTCTAACAGCCTAATATTTCTATTCAATGTTACATAAAAATAATGAACTATCTCGATACTACATTAAATCTTAGCGACTGCAGCTTCAAACCTTACCATTAATCTGAAAGTTTGTTACACTATATCCATGCCAGTTCTAATCACTCACCAATTATTTTAAAACAGCTGCCGACCTCCATTGAACAAAGATTGTCAGCAAAACTCCTTCAGCAAAATAATTCTTAAAAATTCTGCTCCTATTTACAAAAATGCCCTTATAAAGTCTGGACATAGCAACATTATCCAATATCGCCCTAATTTAAATTTACTCAAAACTAATCACGATACCAATAGATACAAACAAAACATCAAATGGTTTAATCCCCCTTTCAGCAAGAATTTTGTCACCAAAATAGGAAACCTTTTCTTTAATTAATCAACATACATTTTCCAGCACACCACAAGCTTCACAAGATTTTTAACAGAAACACCGTCAAAATAAATTACAGCTGCATGCCAAATGCCGTGGTTAGAGTTCTGGCTCAGAACCCAGAGGTCCGAGGTTCGACGCCAGCTCTAGCCCTACAAGTGACATTGGTACGGAAGGAGGCCTTATAAAGTCTGGACATAGCAACATTATCCAATATCGCCCTAATTTAAATTTACTCAAAACTAATCACGATACCAATAGATACAAACAAAACATCAAATGGTTTAATCCCCCTTTCAGCAAGAATTTTGTCACCAAAATAGGAAACCTTTTCTTTAATTAATCAACATACATTTTCCAGCACACCACAAGCTTCACAAGATTTTTAACAGAAACACCGTCAAAATAAATTACAGCTGCATGCCAAATGCCGTGGTTAGAGTTCTGGCTCAGAACCCAGAGGTCGGAGGTTCGACGCCAGCTCTAGCCCTACAAGTGACATTGGTACGGAAGGAGGCGTGAACTTCCTGTTAAATGCTCTTCCGCGGTGCTCTATGATAAGACCGTAAGGACTTCTGGGAGCACCTAAATACATACAAATACATACAAAAAAAAAATTATAAAGTCACACAACAAACACACATTTTGCAATAAAAATATTGATAATATTAGAATCTGCAACTGTATAAATAGAGTTACATGTCCTTTAGAAAATCAATGCCTAACTAAATATATTGTTTATAAGGCTACTCTAACACAACCTGACATCAATATGCTAAGAAATCTTATATTGGTATAAGCAAAAACTCCTTCAAGACCAAGTTTGCAAACCTTTTAACTTATAACTCTTTTAACTTAGTCAGGTATAAAAAAAAAACTGAACTTTTTAAGAAAATTAAGAAAACAGGTATTAAATCCATAATCAAGTCGTGTATCATTAAAAAAAGTCAACCCTATTTGCTCAAAAAGATGTAATCTTTGCATAAATGAGAAATATTTTATTTCAACATACAATGAAGAACCTTTGTTAAATAAAAAAAGTTAATTGGTTTCAGCATGTAGGCACAGAAAAAAGTTTTTGCTATCGAATTTCGACACCGGTTAAATGAGTTCCTGTTTGGCATGAAAACTGACATTTGATCTCATTGCAACGCAAATTTGTATTTTTCATAACAGTTTTTATTTTAATGATTTTAAATACTGAATGGCTTGAATTTTTAAGTAAAAAAAGTTTTTTTCATTTAAATATTTAATATATTTTGATCTATTTTATAAATTATAAACATTGATCACTCTTAAAGCGACAAAAAGCTGTACTATATTTAACAGAATACAACACAACACACACAGATATATATATATATATATATATATATATATATATATATATATATATATATATATATATATATATATATATATATATATATATATATATATATATATATATATTATATTATATTATTTATTAATTATATCATAAATTTGTTTTATAAAATTTACTAAAAAAATTCTCTAAAATAACTTTGCCAACAGGCTTGATTATGGCATTATAATTAAATGTATATTAGTACTTTTGTAAAAGGAATAAAAGTTTTTATTGATTTGAAACTATAAATAAACAAAATAGTTTAATCTAAAGGAACATGAAAAATTAACTTAAATTAAATTTGATAAAAAGAATGTTCTTTTCTTTAACATAGTTTAGAAACATTAAAAGTAAAAAGTAAAATATTAAAACAAGCTTTTTAAATAAAATAAAAAAATATTTTATTATATAATAAATTTATTAATATTTAATAACAAATTTAATGTTAATAAAATAAAATAAATTTAAATAAAAAATTTTAAAAACCCAAACGTAGAAAAAAATTTATTTAGCTATCTGATTTTATATCAAAAAAAAAAAAAAAGGCATTTTACAATTGCAGTGAAAATGTATTTTACAACAATTACTGCTTAGAGGGCCTTTGAGAATGCCAATCGCACCTGAATTAAAAATGGAGAAATAAAAGAGTTATAAGTTAAAAGGTTTGCAAACTTGGTCTTGAAGGAGTTTTTGCTTATACCAATATAAGATTTCTTAGCATATTGATGTTAGGTTGTGTTAGAGTAGCCTTATAAACAATATATTTAGTTAGGCATTGATTTTCTAAAGGACATTCTATAGATATAGAATTGAGAAATGGTTCATTAATCAAAACTGACAAAATATTAGTTTTAAAACCAATAAGCAAAAATTCAATCAACAAAAGCTTTGAGAAAAGTAAATAAAATGCATGAATAATAAACTTTTTTGAGCTTTTTTTTTGAGCCAATAATAAAATCGTTGTAGCTCAACTTTTTAGCCAAATCTTTGTCAATCAAAATAATCAAAAAATCAGTAATGCGATCCTTGCCTATGGTTGAGTGGGGGGAGGTTTTTACAACCTTCAGTTTACTAAACAACTGTTTATCCTCAGCAACTGACACAAGAATAGTGTTGAAAATCCGGAGCATGATGCAATTTTACAGAAAAGAGTTTTCAAGCTTCTTCTTGAAGATTTACTTAAGTAGCTGCAGTGGATTACTTGCTTGAAAATTGTTTTGAGGGCAATGTTAAAACAACAAACTTCTTCAATGAGATCCTCTTTATTCAGATGAAACCGTGCAATTTGCAAGCTTTATTTTGAATTGAAAGATCATCATTACCCAACCAGATGAAAACATATTGCCAACCATCCTGCTCGCCTCAAATCTTGAATCAATCTGCTGGATCAGAGTATCTAAACCAACATTAAAAGATTTCAAAAAATTTCAGTCATAGAAATGAGCTGTGTTTGATGCCTCATTGTGAAAGCTCTTCAGTTTTCTCTTTCTTTTAATAGCAAGTTCAGTTTCAAATCTTTGCAGTCCAGCTACAGCCATTTTGGAAAATTTGCAACGGAATGCTCCTAATCTGTTCAAGATCTTTTACCAGCTATCCAATCAAATGTAGCTTGTCATCGATGGTAGTGGCTTCAGAATGTAGAGGATGATTAACATTGTTAACAGCAGTAAGAGTTTTTTCAAAACATGATAAAGGAGGGGAGGGAGTGTATTAATTGTTTATAATTTATAAATCAAAACATTTTTTACAAAACAAGCATAAATTAGAAACTAGAAAATGCACATTTTCTAACATTTCATTATAATTTCAATAGGATTTAATATGCTGATATAAGTATTATACTTTGGTGAAAAATAAGCTAAAAGCTCATTTTTGACAAATCAAAATTAGGTCGATATTTTATAAAGCCTGTTTACACTGAACTTTTTTGTTTTTATCAATGAGTGAAACTATTTTCATATTTTTAAGACCAACTTTCCCTGTTTTTTATTTTTGAGATGAAAGTGGGAAAGTTTTCCAAAAATTATTAAAGGGATCCCCAAGGGCCAAGACAAGTTGTTGCTGGTTTCAATAATAAATGTTTTTGCTCACCGCAGAGTTTTTTTAAACTAAGTTCAATTTTAAACAATCAGATTGGGTTTTCCCCTATATATATATATATATATATATATATATATATATATATATATATATATATATATATATATATATATATATATATATATATATATATATATATATATTTAATTTTACTTAGATGCCCCAAGTCCTTACGGTCTTATCACAGAGCACTGCGGATGAGCATTTAATTGGAAGTTCACGCCTCCTTCCTAACTGATGTCGCAAGACTTGCCCAGAGGTGGGTTTGAACCACAGATCCATTGTTTCTGAGGCAAGTGTGCTACCACTGCGCCATGGCTGCTCTCTGATATATATAAAATTGTTATTAAAAACTTGAATCTTATATTTTCGCTTAACCAGTAAAGAGTTAACCCCTACAATTTAAACTTGATTTAAGTTTTTTAAAAGAAATTTTTTAATGATGTCAAATGTAAGCGCATTAATCAGATTTAAAAAATAAAAATAAACATAGCAAGCC